TTACTACGAAGTTTCTACATTATTTTGCCTCCTTTATTTGGGGACGAAGTTTCCAACTGGTTCGACATATTTGTTGCTCGTACTTTCCAGGTTATCGTTGACCTAGACGAGACTGGTGTAGAACGGTGAGTTCCAGGAAACCACAGGAGTGATCAGTTTTCCTGAGATAGAATATGCCTGAACTGTTGGTACTTATACACTAGTGTATGTATCTATTAACACATTTTCCTTCATAAGTAACAACTTATGGAAATTTCTATTATTTGCAAAGTGTATATTAGTTGGGAATGCAAAGCGATTTCACTTTGTATCTCTGAGGTATACGGAGAAAATAGCCATATTGAAGGAAATACATTTATGTGTGCATGTTCATGCAAGCTAATTTCTCTTAAAATGAAGTAAAGTATTTGTGTTTAGATAAGTTCCATCTGGATTTCACAACAGAAAATTGACATATTACCCAGTCGGGGAATTTTTGTCGGACATGAGAAGTGTTCGATTGTTGGCAGTGGGAAAAAGGGTATCGATACGAGAAAATTTTGACGGTTTGACACTCGACCGAAGCCTAACCTTATTATACCACCTAACATGGGAGATAGAACGCAGACAGCTATGATCAAGGGCAGATAGCCAGGCTTTTCACGTTTTCCACTTTCAATGGCTATATTCCACTCGCAATCATAAAGGAGGACGGAGCGAACTGCTCCTAAGCAGTATACACACCCTTTAGTCGATAACCAACCAGCCGCATATCACGTCAACTAAGCCAGAGATGGTGTGAGTTGGCACGTGCCAAACGATCCCTCTGTATCCGTGCAGTGATTTCGTTAGCGATCAACCCGCTGGCGTTGGTTGATGCGACTTCCCAAGTAAGTGAATCAGTGAACACGCTCTACCACTTCGCCCCTGCTTTCGCTCCTCATCATATTCTGAGCTTGCCGGAACCAGTCTTCTTGAGTTAATCATTTCGGATGAGATAGTAGAAATCCATTGGCTGTTACTAAATTTTAGTTTTATTATATTAACAGCCTTTAAAGCTGTGTCCACAGCTAACTGTATGTTTTGCCAGGGTGCCTCAGGAGGAGTCTTGCTGTAGACCTCAGATACTCGTTTCTCTGTTTCTTCCTTAAATAGGGACTCAGTGTCTCGATCTAGTTGGGGGCGTAACTGCTTCGTTGCCAACGGTATTTTATGTCCATTTAATCTTAAGCACAAACGTGCTTAAACCAGGGCGTGATTCAAGTCTACGCACATGTTCCAATAAGATCGGCAGTCTTCTACTAACCCTCACCAACGACACCCTATCGCTGTGGTCTATCTGAGTCCAACGTTGATTTGGCGATGCAGGTCGCCAGGTTAGGCAATGTCTCTCTTTGTGCCTAAAGTTAGTGCTGACTAGAAACAGATGATTATGTGAACAAATCTGTAAAAGAGAATCACCTTTACCGATTCGTTGGCATGGAACTCCATACTTACCGCCTATATACTTCTCAGTCTGGTCTAACTTCCCTACTTGGGCATTGAAGTCGCCTGCTAAAACAACTATATCTGAACGTTTTGCTTTTTGCAGAAAACTAGACAGTTTCAGGTAGAAATCATCCGAACTGCAGTCTGTTGGCGCGTAAGCGGAGACTGAAAAGACAATGACGGGTAACGTCGTCCTTCCTTCTTCTAACGGACCCGTCCAGACGAACCGCACACATACGACTATCTGCTGGGATCCAGTCAAGAAGTAATTTTTCTGCCCTAACACTCAATGCTATCCCTACATCTGCGAGTCCTCGCGAACTAGCTGAGGGGTCTCCCGACACCCTTAAGGTGAATTTTGCAGATTCACCTTGTTGGCCGGGTGAGGTTAAGTGAATGACCACACTCGGGTCTTGTATGTGTGTCTCTGGAACATAACATACATCCATGGCTCGAGATGCCAGAGTACTGGCTAGTGATGCCTGTTGACCAATTTGGCAAACAGTCCGGACGTTAAGTGCTCCGATATGAAGTTGGCGGCATGGGTTTAAGAGACTATCGTGGGTGTTTTTCTAGTTTCCATCGTCACAGCGAGTTCCAGGAATATCGACTGTCTGATTACTGTGTGAACAATGGTAGATGTAGTAGATTAAAGAACAGAATAATAAATAAAAACGGATATCTGAACATCATATTTCATAGTTATCTCTTCAACAATCTTGCGACTTTTATGGCTCATCAATTGTGATTAGATGTTCAAGGTGAGTGGTAAGGTCCTTCGGGTTAGTTGCTGTAGTTTGACTTCGTCATAACTAACTGAAGCCAACCCTTGGTGTGCATCACACCTTAAGCAAATCTGCTAGAGGTGACATGATGTGACGAATTTGCCATTTCGTAATTTTACGAGGTGGAGGTGCTTTCAAATCCCCCCAAAACTCTCCTGGATCTTGTCAAGATCCACATCATGCTACAGCAATGAAAAAGGCGCAAACAATGCTGTTAAATACCATTTCGTAGAGATATACAGATCAGTGCCCTCCTCTCCCCATGTAACTGGTAGATGGTGATAGTTGGGGTTCGGTGACGAATCGCCTGTTGCCTTATATCCCTTCTTTGTCAACTATTTGATAGGTTTTGTTTTAAAAATTTCACTGTATACTATTGAAAAATTATTAGCGCAAAAAATGTTTTTATGATATTCTCATCTATTAAGGCTTTCAAAATCATGATAAATTTGTTGAGAAGATTTTGAGTTGTTTGTACATATGGCCAAGCATGGATCAACAACAAATGATCGATTCATTGAAAAGTAAAATAGACGAAATTGAACTTTTGCTGTCAATGTTTTCAGAAAATGAGATTAAACTAGGAGATAAAGAAACCTATCAAAATATCAAGTATCATGCAGAATTGAATGTTCTCCCTGAAAAAACAGATATAGATTTTGTAATTAATGTAAGTTTTAGAGCTATATTATCTGTCAAATTTATATGTCTTATATATATTTTTACTGATATGAATATTGCTTGGTAAGGCTCTTGGGGGTTTGTATACAACAAAGCTCATGTTTCATAGTTTCTTTACATTGAACTTCTTTCATCCAGCCACTCTCAACTTACCGAACATCCAACACCCTCCTGAATGGGATATAGACACAGTTCCTCTGTCCCTAACTGAGGTTACTAAGGCTCTCACTAATCTGAAACGAAGCAAAGAAGCAGGACCTGATGGAATAACTCCAGAGGTATTTAAGTACGGTGGAGACAGTTTACTGTCTGCGTTAACTAAGGTATTAGGCAGCGTTTGGGAATCATGGATAGTCCCGTCGGGTTGGTGTAAGTCATTGATTATCCCCATATACAAGAAGGGAGACAAGTCTTCCTGTGATAATCACATGGGGATTAGCTTGAATAATATGGTGGTATCTAAAGTTCTAGGCTCAATAATATTGCGTAGACTAATTGGTGCTCGATAGGCACAAACACGAGATAACCAGGTAGACTTTAGACCAGGAGGAGGGTGTATTGATCATATCTTCACCCTTCAACAGATTCTGGAACATGGGCATACTGACCACCGGCGTTCAACAATCGTTATATTTCATGACCTAAAGGCGGCATTCAATTCTGTCGACCGAGAGGTACTCTGGCGATGTTTGGCTGTTAAAGAAATGCCGAGAAAATATGTTGCACTGATCAATGCACTCTACTTGAACTCATGCAGCCAGGTGAGAGCTTACGGCGAGTTGTCATCTGAAGTGGTGACAGCCAGTGGTGTCCGACAGGGATGCCCACTGTCTCAATCTCTATTCAATTTCATCATAGATGTACTGATGGACGTAACCCTAACTCACTTCAGAGACTCAGTGATTGACTTTCTATCAGAGAATAATCTCGCTGACTTGGAATATGCAGATGATACAGTCCTCCTTCTTAGGTGAAGACGCTGACAAAATGCAGAGTCTTCTGAACACCTTGAAGAGTAGGCATCTTCAAATATTTAGCATGTGATTCTCTCCTACCTAATGTAAGATGATGTTACACAACTGGAATGGACCACATTGACTCATAGCTTAGTAATAGGGAGTGAAGTGGTAGAGAGTGTTGACCATTTCACTTATTTGGGAAGTTGCATCAGCCAATGCCAACGGGTTGATCGCTAACGAAATCTCAGTACGGATACAGAAGGCTCGTTTGGCATTTGCCAACTTACACCATCTCTGGCTTAGTAAACGTGATATCCGGCTGGCTGTCAACTAAAGGGCGTGTATACTGCTCAACAACAGTTCACACTGTCCTCCTTTATGGCTGTGAGATCTGGCCATTGAGAGTGGAAGACATGAAAGGCCTGCGTTCTATCTCCCGTGTTCGGTGGTAGGTGTAATAGGGTAGGTAATATTGAGGTTAGGCGTTGAGCTTTAGGTAAAGAGGGGAAATCAATAGACGAGACTGTGAAGGTACATCGATTAAGATGGTTGGGACATGTTTAATGCATCTCTAGCCATCGCTTTGCTCGACGGGCAATGTTAGCCGATTGACATAGGGTCGGGTTGGAAAAGAGTTAGCTAGTGGTGGTCAGACCAAAACATATCACCAGTCAATGAAATCCACAACAGTTATTTTAAGCCACGTAGGAAGATGTAGACTTCCTGGTTGGGGTCCTCAGGACGGTGAACCCCGATGGCTGAAGACAATTGTTGATATGGCTCAAAATCGTTCTCAATGGCTGGCGCAGATGCATGCACCACTTGTGACTTATAATATCCAATAAACCTATATGGCTCTTCGTCATATCTCTGTTTGCTGTCTATTTTTCGTTTCTTTTTACTTTCTTCTCTGGCTTTACGTGCTGATTGAAGTGTGGCAACTCGCACTGCTGCACATCGGTGCAAAGTTCGATGTTGAAACCAGTCAGTCTTTCATCCACCCCAACATCTTTTATCTAGGCTACAGATCAACTTTATGTACAGCTTAATATTTCACCCATTGTTCTATAACCTATGGTTCATTGAATATCTGACAACAAACTGTCTCATATTTGACCATGGATTAATTTCAGTTAGATAACCGTTGAGAGTACTGGACAGCTGTTTCGTCCAACCTTGTTTGGGACTCATCTGCAGTACACACCCAACAGGGTTCGAACCCAGAGCTAGCTCGCAAACCATTCAGCCACTGAGACCCCACTCAATGCGCCAGCCCATGAATTCTAACTTCTACCAATTCGTGGTTTTAACGCAATTGACACCATCCGATGTTATCGATGGCGAGTATTAGTCCTTACTGCCGACCGAATGAATCCCGCTGGTGATCACTTCTCACTAGAACTCCAGACAAACTCGTCCTTTAGCCAGTCACTAGCGAGCATCAATTCGTAACCAGTAGGGTCTATCCATTGTTAATCTGACTGCATATCGATAACGAGTGATTGTAGTAGATTTCTTATAAATATATATAGTAAAGGTTATCGAGTCTTAGTGGCCAAATAGTGTCACTAATTGTTGTTGAAAAAATGTGACTCATTGCTTCACTCATGACCGACTGACTAACCAATTTCTACATAGACATTTGCACAGAAGTGCACCAGTTGGGAGTTGCTACACTCCACTAAGCACATAAAGGAAGATAAAAGAGAAAACAGTAGATTCGGAAAAACGATAACAGCGTGCGTCGGTGGCACAGCGGTTAGAACTCTCGCCGACCATGCACATGCTCCAGGGTTCGATCTCCTGCCGACTTACACCTGATATCAATGGTTTGCCTGCAAATTTGGGCTACCGATGTCGCATGCTGGAAATTCCATACTTGTACCAAAAATACGGTGTGGAATCGAGGTAAAATAAAAAAAGATTAGTTACACAAAAAAGAGTTCTTTTGAATATGGTAAATTACAGCGAATGGATGTATATGCGCCAATGAGAAAGATTTTGTGCTATATCTCCGATTGTCTTCAACCATAGGCTTAACTGAGTGATGTCACGTTTCATTCAAATCGCTCTACCTCTTTTGCAACCTAATCCTATGTTAGCTGACATTGTCAATCGAGGAAGGCCATCGATGGCTAGAGATGCATAGCACATGTCCTAACCATCTCAATCGATGTAACTTCACAACCTCATCGATTGATTTCCCCTCCTTACCTAACACTCGACCGAAGCCTAACCATATCAGTATTACTCACCTTATTATACCACCTAACATGGGAGATAGAACGCAGACACCTAGCCAGGCTTTTCATGTCTTCCACTCTCAATGGCCAGGTCTCACAGCCATAAAGGAGGACGGAGTGAACTGATGCTGAGCAGTATACACGCCCTTTGGTTGAAAGCCAGGTGGATATCACGTCAACTAAGCCAGAGATGGTGTAAGTTGGCAAATGGCGAATGAGCCTTCTGTATCCGTGCTGTGATTTCGTCACCAATCAACCCCAGTGGAGCAGGGCTTCAAGCTAGTGGCTTGAAGTTTCTGTAGCAGTGTTTATTTTACAGGATGGGGTTGCTAGCCTCATGCCCAACCTTTCCTCTTCACCAGCATTATTTCTGGCTTAGAGAGGTAAAGGAGTGCGTCAACCGGGGATCGAACCCCGGACCATGTACATGGTCGGCGAACGTCCTAACCGCTATGCCACCGACGTTAGGGCTGATGCAACTTCCCAAATAAGTGAATTGGTCAACACACTCTACCACTTCACTCCTGTCTATCTTCAAGCAAGGAGTCAATGTAATCCAGTCCAGTTCTGTAGCATCATCTTACATTAGATAGGAGAGAATCGCATGCCAAACATTTGAAGACTCCTACTCTTCAAGGTGTTCAGAAGACTCTGACAAAGTACAGAGTCTTCTGAACACCTTGAAGAGTAGAGGACTATATCATTTGCATATTCTAAGTCAACGAGAGTCAATCCGGGAGTTGCTTGATTCATAACCTTGAGAAGGGATACTTAATTGCATCATATATTGTAAACTGAGTCATTTTAACACTTAATATTATACCCCTGTCTATCCTATTTTTAGCTTGAAAATAAAGTAGAATTATCAGTTGTTCTACCTGATGGATATCCATCATGGAATTCATGTTTTCCAGTTAAACCCTTAGTAACTCTACGTTTGTTATCATCATCATCATCATCATCGTCAGAATCTTCAAATCATGGAATAAATGTACGTGAATTATCTTCACGATTCAACCAATGGTTAGATGAAACAGCCAACAGCGGTGAACCAGTATTAGTAGCATCTATTGATTGGCTTCAAAATGAATTTATCAATGGTACTTTTATGCTAAATGAAACTGTCGATGCTATACAAACCAACCAAAGTCTATTGGATAATAATAATAATGATAATAATAAGCCATGCATAGCTTGTTTATGGATTATTAGTCATCATATTAGAAGTCCAATTAAAAGACGTTTAATTTTGGAATGGTCCAAGGAATTAGACTTAACTGGTTGTTGTATGCCTGGTCGACCTGGTCTAATAGTTGTTGAAGGTGAAGAAAGTAAGGTTAGTTTTTTTATTTTATTTTTGTGATTATTTTTCTTAATTCATGGATAATCCCCATCCAGACATTAATGAAAACAAAACACGTAGTGTTCAGCGAAGAGTCACTTTTAGGCGGCGAATTCAGTTTCTTAGCTGTGCAATCGCAAATATATATCATTATTATTATTTATTGCTCCCTTGGGTTCCTAGTGGAACATAGGGCTTCAACTGCACGCCTCCACTTGCTTCTTTCTGCTGCTGTACTTTTCACTTGCATCCATGTTATTCCATACTGTTTCAACTCTTCTTCAGACGATCTACTCCATATCACCCTCGGACGTCCCACTCGCCGTTTCCCTTTCGGGTTCCAGTGCGTCTTTTATTCTCTCCAGGATGATGCGACTCAGGATTTTACTTGGCGTCGACAGGGGCATGATTCCTCGCCAAATATATATATATATATATTATTTCGTACGTATGTGTAAATTAAGTTTATCAAACAAAAATACAATCGGTTATAGTTATTTTAACTAAACAGGTGAAGATTGGTGATTGGAGTTACGTAATACAAAATCAGTCAAGAAAATTAGCTGTTAGTGAAATTAGGGTAGTAACAAAGGTGATGAGTTGTCACAAACAGATGTTAAAAAAGAAGTTATGTAATAATATGAATAGTTTGATGAGTAAGTTTTACTCAGGATGCACATAGGAACAAAGTAGATAATGCGAAATTACGCAAGAGTTCTAAATGAATACAAAAATTACAAGCAATTAAAGAACAGGCAGAGAAACAAAATTAAGTCATCAAAATCAACAAAGTTGTTACTATTACAGTAGAAGTCGTTGAGTAATCCTCTTTTGAATGCACAGCTCCGGTTTTTTCCATGTAAATGGCCAGAGCTTCAGCGATACAAAGAAGCCGAAACCGTATTGCCTTTGATAGGTTGTTCTTGACTCTGTAGATAGCTTTGAAGCAGGAGGCGTTTGTTGAAATGGAATGATCAGTGTTAACCAGGTGTTCAATTATCGCACTCCTTATTGAACCACTATTGCCTTTTCTCAACCATGCTGGATAGTGTTCTTGAATCCTCTTGGACAGGGTGTGCGTCGAACGACCGATGCATCTGGCTGGCTCCACAGCAGCAGGTGAACTGATATATGCACATAGAAGTGGTCAGATGCGGCATCTTGTCCTTGAGGCTTCTGTAGATCAGTGGGCGACTGGAGAACACTATTCTCAGCGTTGCTGCAAAGAATGTTATTCTCAGAGATGATGTGATCCTTCTCTTGAGAATATCGCTTGCTAATAAATCTCCCTTGAAATTCAGGTTCATGTAGAGTTTCTTTTTTGGCGCAATTAAAGTTTCGTTTCTCTGAATTCTTGGTTTGATATTTTTGTCGATGAATCTTATTGCGTATCCATTTTGGATGAAAATGTTTTTCTTTTCTTAAATATGCAGAATTGACTAGGTTTATCAAATTCACAGGTCGACTGGTGAAATTTCGCCGTAGGTTCCTTTAGAAACAAGTTAACCAACCAACCAACTGACTCATTCATGAGCAATAAATTCTGCATCATTCAAATTAATTGTCGTCAAGATTTGACAGAATAGTTCTAAAATATTTGGGCGCCGAGTGAGAAGTAGACATTTGTAAAAAATTATATTTGTAATATCTCAGCGATATTGAAATAAGTAATTCCAACGTTTCGTTCGACAGGGTGCTTAAACTAAACTCTAATCCTAAACACCATAATTTTGAAAATACGTCTAATCATAAAATTCTAGATACTAGCAGTTTGAACGGACATGAAGGTTTGATGTTAGCTGATGCATAGGAAATCCTGATTAATAAATAAAAATGGATATGTATCACTAATTAATAATACTTGGTCAAATTCCTGACTGTCTATATCTTCCTATGGAGAAGTTAAGAAATGTTTTACAACTGTTTACACAAACACACGCATGCACACTCTGTTTAACAAAGGTGTTTAACAAAGGTAGACCAATATTTGTAAATTAAAACAATTAGTCCCTTTGATAAATTTGAATAAGGCATTAAGAAGACAAATTTCGCGAGATGATATCATTTCGTAGTTTCTTTACAACCGCTTTACAACTAACATGGTTAACAATAATAAAATAAAGGTCATGACAATTACTCAGTTAAATAAAAACAAAAGTACATACTAATGACCAATCATATTTAGATAGGTCAAGTAGTCCAGGGTAGGCGAAGATTGAAGTCTATTGATTTTTGTACACACAGTTTAGGCTGTATGTGATTAATCCGAAGTGCTTCCATCACCTTCAATAACCTTGAATTACAGTTTTGTGAAATAATTGTAAAACAGTCATTAATATTGATTTTGTGACCTGACATTAATAAGTGTTTTGCAATGGATGACGCTGGATTTCTATTCAGATTACTGGCATTGGGATTTTCAATATGATTTAGTAGCCATTTTGGAACATGTTCTTTACGACGACATTGGAATATTCTGTTGGTTCTACCTATATAGGTGTCACCGCAGCAACTGCAGGTGAACTTGTAGATAGAGTTTGAAGTAGAGTCCACAGAATTTCATCCTTTAATCGTAGGTACAGGGATCGAAAATGTTCGGCACGTGAGAAACAGAGATGCGGCGTAGAATGTGCGTTTGATGGCTGACCGAAGTCTTTGAGCTGTCAACTGCATAATCTGGTCACCCTTGAATGGTAGGATAATAAAGATAGCTTTCTTAGGTACCAAAGCTGTCTTTTCCAGATGCGGTCTTTCCTTATTGTGACAACTGATAAAGCTTTCCGGATACCCATTAGCTAATAAAACTGAATGTATATGTCGAAACTCATCCATCACTGTGTCACTCGTGCATATTTTTCGGGCCCTTGAGAACAAACATTTCACTAGGAAACGTTTATACTGGATAGGAACAAAACTGGTAAAATGAAGATATTGTCCACTCCATGTCTGTTTACGAAAGATAGATCTCTGAATCGTCCCATCATCTCTCCTGGTCATTGTAATATCGAGGAAACCGATTCGATTCGCGTTCGAAAGCCACTCGGATATTTGGATGAATATGATTAAATAGAGTAATAAAGTTTTCTCAGTAGATTTACTATTATTAGCAATAATGAGAGTATCATCTACATAACGTTTATACAGCATAAATTCTCCAAGCATACCTTGCATATGTCTTTCCAATTTCGACATGAGAATATCTGCTAACAGGGGCCCAAGAGGGCTACCCATCGCAACACCATCGATTTGTTTGTATGCATTTTCTTGAAAGGTGAATCTTATATTTTCTGTACACATTAAGATGATGTCTCTGATGTAAGTTACAGGAATAGGCAAGTTTATTTCATTGCTTGTGATGTAATCGCAAAGGTAATCAGCAGTTTCATTGAGGGGAACATTGGTGAATAAAGATTCTATGTCAATTGAACACATAACCTTATCCTTGATGTTCAAGGTGTCTAGCATATCTGCCAGATGAAATGAACTTTTTAAAGAATGATTTGATAATGAGTCTCTTACAGGCGTAAGGACTTCTGTAATCCATTTTGCGATTTTGTGGTATGGAGAACTCGACATGTCTAAGATGGGTCTCAGTGGGTTACCAGTTTTTGTGGATCTTCGGAAGGCCATAAAGCTGGGGAGTATGCGACCCAATTGCTTTAAGTTGTTTATAAAGTTTTTCATCTATAAAACCATGCATCAGTAAAATCTGAAGCTGACGGTTGATCTGCTTTTCCACAAGCAGCACATTATCAGTGGCATTGTCCACCAGAAATTTGGACTGATCTTTGAGGATATCATTCATTTTATTTTGATAATCCGATTTATTCCACCGAACAAAAATTAACAAAATCTTTGAAAGACACGAATCATATTTTGGAATTTCCTCAAGATATCCACAAGCATATAATTAATTTATCTAACTGCACTCTATCCCAACTAAAGTTGGAAGCATTATCTTATGGATTGAAGTACAAAACTATTCCTATGAAAATAAACAAAGTGGAAGTTCAGTCACAGTATGAAAACCTTTATGGAAAACAGAAAGATTGAGCGAAGAAATATTTACTTTTCAATTAGATCCTCTTCTCTGGCTCTACTCTAATATATATAGCATTTTTACAATACACAACAGTTTACCAAACAAGTGGCGATATGTTTGTTAACAATAATTAAACAGTGTCAAAATGTCAATGGGTTGATAATTAACGCAGAAAATCAATACACATTTAAAAAGTAGAAATGGATAGAATAAATTAATTTTACAAGAATAACACGTAATTAAAGATGAAGTGGTCAAAATAAAAATAAAATAATTTGGACAATTATAATTTAATAGGGGGAGGGGGGCGACGTAGTCCTGTCTTGTAACGATGGCCACGGTAAGGAAAGTGGCTGTACAAATTTCTTCTGTACACATAGGCTTGGTTTCTTCTGGTGGATTCCAATTGCTTCAGCTGTCTGTAGAAGACGAACTCTTAGAGCAAAGTTAAGATTAGTCGGAATGCGATAAATAATTTTAAATGCAGTATTCACATCAACCTTGTGCTCAGTATCAACAAGGTGTGCTAAAATAGAACTACGAATAGATTTTGTTTGTCCCTTGCTTAACCACGCTGGATGATGTTCAGAAATACGACGATGAAACTGCCTAATTGTACGCCCAATGTAGCTGGCTCCGCAGCTGCAGTCAAACTGGTAGACACACATAGAAGAGGCAAAATTAGGTAGTTTATCCTTATTTCTCGAACATAGAATAGGGGTGGTTTTGAAGAGACAACGTACTTCTGCTGCATAATAAGCTCTTTTAACTGCATTCTTCAAGCGCTGTGTTATGATTTCACTGATGTTGTCACCGAGGAACTGCAATTTTATGAACATTGGCTTTTTCGAAACTGTAGCAATACTGACTCTCTTTGGTGCTGAATTCATATTCTTCTCAATAAATTTATCTGGATAACCATTTTTTCTAAGTAATTCTTTAATAATCTTAA